ATGTTGCTTCTATTTTCAAATATCCATTACTGTTAAAATTTCCTATAGCTGTATATTAGTTATTTATTCTCCAGGTGCACAGTTTTATAATGTTAAAACACTTTACAGTACAGTATGTTATTATTTATCTTCTAACTCTTCACTATTATGTTATTCCTATACATTTTTCTAAGATCCACATTCGTCTGACCATTTTTTTTTCTATAATCTTTTTGCTGCTGTAAACACCACATTTTTCCTATTGTGGGACATAAAGAGATTTACTGTTTCTATTTCTAATTCCAAGATCACATACACATACAATACACAGTAGATATTATCAGTGGAAGGTCTTTATCCTGTTCTGAAATGTACACAGTTGTTACTGTAAGGATTGGTTTTCTACATTTTATGCGGAAACAAAATATGGTAAAAGTATTTCCTCTGCATTATTTTTTCATACAATTTTTTTGTTTTTAACACCAGATTTTGCACATTAAGTGTGTCTGTCTGCATCATTTCTAAGCATTAAATTAGATGCTACTATCCAACAATAACTCAGTACTCAAGTAGGCTTTTTACCAACTTTTTATCTTTAACATAAAAAAAAAACATTAAAGTAGTGCTTCTCTTACTTGCGTTAAACTTTTGGCTCCCTACCCACTTCTGCCATCTATGGATCTCCCGCTCCCTTTTCCCCTCACTCGTGAACACCCAAGATACTTGAAGCCCTCCACTTCAGGCAGGAACTCTCCTTCTAATTGAAGGGGAAAAGCCACCTTTTTTCTACTTGAGAACCATGGCCTCAGACTTGGAGGAGATGATTCTCATCCTGGCCACTTCACATTCAGCTGCCAAACGCCCTGTATCCACTGTATGCTGTGGATCTTGGCAGGAGGGAGCGAAAAGAAACACTACATCTGCAAAGAGCAGGGATGAGATCCACTGGTCTGCAAACCAGACCCGCTGCGGCCTTTGGCTACGCCTAAAAATCCTGTCCATAAAGGTTATGAAGAGGATCAGTGAAAGAGGACAGCCCTGCTAGAGTCATAGAGAATGGGTCCGACTTAATGTCGGACCACCCGCTCTACAGGTATAAAGACTGGAGGGCCCCACGTAAACAGTCCTCTGTATCAACTATGCAGTTTGTACAGTAGGAAAATATTATAACACTTAAAAAATTATACTTAAAAAAAGCAACAACAAAAAATAAGCCAAACAAAACAAAAAAATTGCTATGATTTAAACAAAATCAGCAGTAAAATACTAGTTTGTCCAAAGCTTTGATCGAGAAATAAATACACGGTTTTGTGTTATTAATCAGCAGGGAGCAAATAATATTTCAAGTTTTGAAAATAATTAGATTTGATAAAGTTTTAGAAATGTATGCAGTGGATTCATCAGAACTGACTGGAGATTTTGCTTGATCTCTTTGAGAGCAAAACAGAATAGAAAATGTGAACACACATTATATACACAGGAAAACTGGTCAGTGATGTGATTAGGGAATTTGTGAATTGGACTACTCTACAGCATGCAACCAGATTTTGACTTACAGGGATGAAAAGCTGCAACAGTTGGGATGAATATATTTGCACACATTTTTTTCAACTAAATTGCATCGTTCAGTTCTCCTTAAAAGGAATATATTACTGAAGCTCCCACATCTTAGCTCTACATTGATAAAGCTCTGCTGATCATTAAGGACTGCTCCTGTTTGCAGCCCTTTCTCATGATCCCATGTACTTTGATTCATTTTGGGTCCTAAAATGTCTTCAATGCATTGTTTACCTGAACCCACATATTTCCGGTAAGATTTAGTTTTTTTTTTAGACTTTTCCACAACTTCAATATTCTTCTTACAGAGTCGTTTCTAAATGATTTTTGACTCACAGTGATGCTCAATAACAAAATCTCTTTTCAGATTCCCTTTTCTGCCAAACAACTGATGTTTTTGGGGTCAAAAGCAACTGGTATTTAGACATCATTCATACACCTATGGAAAAACACTATTTGTTTTAGAAGAAAGCAACATCAGATCATGATGCTGGAAGCATGTGTTGCTGCAAGGATGGTTTCCTGTGGTTCTATGCATTGTTATTTTGCCAAAATGTATTTAGACATTTCATTTAAAAGTTTGTTTATTTTTATCCCATCTATGAATATTCTCCACCGAGGTGATAGGAAACTTAAACTAGGACTACCAGGAAGAAAATCTGCTTACCTATACATTTTTACAATTATTATTTTTAGTCTTTATAACAGCTCTGCAGACTTTGAACAATCCAACCAGAAAAGCTTTACTTCAGTATTCTGGGAGGCTGAATGCTGAAATGCCTGGCTAAGGGTTCTCATACTGTATGTCATGTCAGTTAAAGTTTACTGCATATAGTCATGTTAAAGTTGTGACAAAAATCATTTATTCAGAGATGTCTACACCTCTGAAAATGAGTGCAAGACAATAAATACAATAACATTTGACTGTTTTCACGATGTTCACAACAATGTATGGCTTCTTCAACAAATCAAGAGGGAAAACAAATAAATAAAAGGAATCAGTTATGATACAAAACCTTTGTATGGTATTTGTGGGTAAAAAAAAGTCTAGGACTTTTATAGAGATATATAAAAATTTTTAATTTATATGACCTACTATGAATTTCCTCAAACAACAGAGAAACAATCAACAGGCCTACCTTTCACACACATGTAGGCCCCATGCTGCCACAATCCACAGAGAAACACTGAAAATCATCAGGACGGTGCCAGGGTAGGTAGTCATTAGCGTTTTCCCAACAAACCTGGTGTTGAAGTGGATCTAACGATAAAAAAACATGTATTATGTCATAGTTTTGAAAAAAAAAAAAGAGATGGTACTTTGCCAGACTATTTAAAATAGCACCTGTCAGATTATCCTTACATAACACAGAGGAGATGAGGGATAAGAAGAGAGTTTGCAATCTGTCTGGATACATGGACAATAGGTTCACTTTTGGGAAGGAGGGAGGGATGCAGGCATCATTTTCATCAGTTTTAAATAGCACTAAAATGTGAGGGATTAGCCGGGTGGACATGTGCTGATATGGAAAAGGAAACGTAAAGGAGTCACTGAGGGACAGTATTAGCATGTTTAAGACCAGCAGGGTAAATGAAAGTGAAACTGTTAGTCACACCTCAAGCGTCACACTTCTACAGACCTCTCGGCCCACCTAGACACAAACAGATGAGGATATAAACAGATGAGGATGAAATGTACAAAACTGAAAGCTAGCACAAGTCATTGCCCAATATTTTCCCTTTAAGACAGGTTGCTTCCCCCTGGACACTTTGTAATTAAAAGTTTTAAGTTTGTATTTACACATTAATGTACAGTAACTGCCGTTGGGCCAGATTAAAGAAAGCAGGTCAAGGAAAACCTTCCCCCGACCTTGTTTAGTGCTCCGATGCTCCGGGAGGCCGTGTCTGTGAAGAGGCGGCTGTGCAGCATCATTGCTCGACCCAGCAGGTACAGCCTGAGAAACATGGGCAAAGCCAGCATGATCTCCAGCTCCGTCTCTGAGAGCGTGGTACGGACCTGGGTCTTCTGGAAGTATGCCAACAGCCCCACCGGATAGGGATGGATGGCCACTATTACCAGCTCCAAGACAATCAGAGCAAATCGGTCCGTGGTCATGGCTATCCTCCAGTCCTCTGCACCAATATCATGAACGTAAAGCTGTCACAGGGGTGAGAAAAAAATATGAAGCTGAAGCAGGATTCTATTCTAGTTTTTTATTTTGTTTAGGATAAAGTGTATCATAATAAATAAGCTACTTTTACCAACTCTCTCAATTTTAACTTGTTTTTTTTTTTATTTAAAACGGGATACCACATGGTAGCTCCCTTAGTCCCCTGTTTTTTAAGTTATATATAGGATTGGGAGGAACAACATCTATATGATGTGGTAATATTAAGGACTTTATGTAGAGGGCATTTGTTTTGGTTAAAAACTGTTGGGAAAAAGTTCAAGTCTAAAACCTTTCCCTCCAGTCCTTCCATTGGAAGAAAGCCCAGGGAACGGCCCAGGACTGCAGACACTATTTCTCTGCGGACAGCATTGGAAAAATGGGAATTGGAGAAATAGACCAGAGATAAACAACATAGCCACAATTCCAAGATCCATTTGAATTCCGCATTTTATTCTAAGTTGGATGAAATCAATTAGAATTTTTCTAAATTAAACTTATTGTGCCAATGAATATTATATTATACATTATTTATCTTAAGGATGTCCAACTTTTCAATAAAAACACATAATTTCTTCACATTTACACTGTGTGACATAAAGATTTGCTCACCTTCATATTATTTTGGTGTTATGATAGAGAGCTTCAGCCATTCGCTAAATTCTGGCACGTCACCCAATCAGCTCGAAGTATTGTACTATATGTCCGTCCTTTTCATGGACAGATTGAACTGCAGCCATCCCAGATTGATAACTAGAACTAAACTCAGTTCTACACATATCAATCTGGCTACTGCCAGGTTACTTCTGAGTAGCATGGGTTCATAAGTAAAGTAGAAATCAGGAAGATGGTGTTACAGACTAGAGAAAGGAGCTAAACCCCAAACCGCTCACTAACCACTAACCCTTAACTATTAAGTGTCACTCGCAATAATGTTACACTTGCAGCTGTGGAAGGTGTTTGGACTGTACTTGAGGGGTATAAATGGGAATAGGATGGCCTCCCACCTCCAAGAGAAAGGAAAAGCAGTCATTCCTATGTGTGTGGTTGTAGCTCTGTGGCACAGGTTAACATAATATAACACCAAACATTTGCCATTTTCCATCAATCCATCCATCCATCCATTTACTGACACATTTATCCCTCTTGGGGTCGCGGGGAGTTCCTGATCCCTATCTTCAGCTGTCTACAGGCGAGACGCAGGGTACACCCTGGACAGGTCACCAGACCATCACAGGGCAACAAAGAGACAAACAGGACAAACAACCATTCACACTCACACCTAAGAAGAATTTAGAGAAGCCAATTAAAATATATATATATTTTTTTTGACTTTTTGGAGGAGGCTGGAGTACCCAGAGAGAACCCACACATGCACAGGGAGAACATGCAAACTCCATGCAGAAAGATCTCAGGCCGGGAATCGGACCAGGAACATTCTTGCTGCAAGGCAGCAGTGATACCTACCATTTTCTTTAAAAAAAAATCTATCCATTCAAATAAAACTACCGTATTTCAAAGAGGACGTTCCATTTAGGGATTAATTACATCTTTTTCTTTTTCCTAACTTATAATTTTCTGTATGTTTGATAAAGATGCAGGAAACCAGAGGTACTTATATGCACATGTTTCCTCTGCCATTAGTTCACCATTACACCTGCTGCCAGATTCTAGTGAGCCAGCACTAATGCACTATTTAAGGGCTGAACTGTCCACTAGCCCTACCCACTACGTGGTTTGGGACGACCCTTAATGTGGCTGACCCTCCACGGGGAATGTGTAAATAGAGGGTTAGTGTTTAGGGGATGGTTTGGGATTCAGCCTTCTTCTTACCCATTTTCAGACATAAGCACTAAATTATACATATAATATATTCTTATATTTCATTATTTATATTTAATGTTTTTATGCATTCAATTTGTAATTTTTTTAGAGTGTCTGAGATACAGTTCTTCATTTATAGTACCGGTTTGGAATGTTTTTGTTTTCTTCCTGTAATCCTTCCTTAAAAATGAGGGAGTAGGAGCTAAGAATGGCCCCAGGAGCTACAATTAGCCAAATTTGGAATCAGCAAATATATAAATCTCTCCTCTGGGGATAGGGTTTTGTATCTATGCCAAAAATATGTTTTGAAAAAAAGTTTGCATTCATACCGCTGAGTATTTTTTTTTTAAACACAATTCAGGAAAGAAGATCCTAAGAAATAAAGCAGTCCATTGTAAGCTTTTCAAAGATACCAAAATGATAATAATAATAATGCCTTTGATTTCAGAGATTTCAACAGATGCATGAAGGATCATTTTAAATGATTTAAGAATGACCAGCTGTTGTACCTGCACCTCACAGCAGTGATAGGCAACAATGAGGCCCAGCAGGATGAGCGTTGACAAACTGATGACTGATTTGAAAGAAAGGGAGTAGATGGAGCTCTGGAGGAAAAGCACATGAAAAAATATTCACAATAAACATCTTTTATTTTAGCTCACCACCGCAAACACAAAGCTGAAAAAATGCAAGCAGAATAACGTAGAAGAACTGAATGAGAGATATGAAAGATTTCACAAAATGTATATTCATTCTCAGTATTGACTTATCTAAAAATAAATTGCAAATAATCCCCTACTCCAAAAAGGCAAATGAATGCAGAAATGTAAAAGTAAAAAAAAACTAATAGTGGTGCTCAAACTTGCTGCTAATTGAAAACAACTTAATCTAATGTTGCATTTTCCTGTCCTTTATTATAAATAGTGAACATATTAGTCACTAGAACTGGGCAATATGATGTGTGAAATTACTCTTGCAGAGTGTTAGTACTCCAGAAGCACTCTGACCTTGCTGTAGATGCTCCAGGACAGCTCCGTCTCCATCACCATCATGAACACTCCAAACAAGCCCACAGCCAGGGCGCAGTCGTTCAGCCGCTGCCTCCTCAAAAACAGGGCCCTCCTGCGGACCAACCGCCAGCCGATGTTGTGTGTCCTCCAATATGAGTCCTTCTTGGCGTCCTCTTTGCGTCTGGGGCTGTGCTGAGGACTGGGGCTGGGGCTCCTGCGGAAGAGCTTGGCCCCTGGAAGTGGACCCCTGGTTTCTCCTGGGCGCTGGTGAAATTGTGGCGCCTTATGCGGTTGCTGTTGAACGTTGTCATCCTTACTGGTGATGATGATCTCTGGGAGACTCTTGCGATCATGCATTTCCAGAGAAACATTGCCCGACTTGCGGCACCCTCGACCTTCAACATCCCTGATATCCAGGTTGGACCTGCTGTGGCCCTTAAACGGGGATCCACAAGGGGAGATTGGTACATCAGTGAAGGACGTGACTGTCTCCTGGAGTCTATTTGAGCCAAGATATTTAGCTTTGCTTTGTTGGTTGCGCTCCTTTGTTCCTGGATTTTGTGGCCTTTTCTCATATTTTTTCTCCTTGCCCTTAGTTTTCTCTCTCCTCCTGCTGGATCGAGGTGTTGCCGTCACATAGAGGTGGCCGTTGTATAGAGGTGTTGTAGCCATTGCCTGGGTTCTGTCCAACCACACTGTGTGATCAATGGACGTCTGGACCGTGTGGTGTGGTCCACACTGCGGCGAGTAGGCCTGAGGTGGGACCATCCGTGGTGGAAGGAGGGGTCGGTGGTCCTCCGGCTCGTCTCCATCCACCACTGTTGAGTTCATTGATGGGGAGTGCTCCATGGTGAAGGGAATCTTTTAAGGAGTTTTAAGCTGTAGATGAATGATTTTATTATACAAAACAAGAGAAAGGGTTAAAACTGTTTGAACAGATGGTGGCAGCAGTTTGATGGAACTTGGATCTGAAGCTTAGTAAGAAGAGATTTCCCTCATTTTCCTTATCTGTCAGATTCATATATGCTCACCTTTTACAAGTCTTCAATGCAATGCCCGTATCACTTCTGCATAGCTCTAAATCTAAAAGAGAAAATATTATTTCTTCTATTTCTTTGTTCCTACCTTACTGTCCAGGCTCAGGTCTGAAAGTAATTCACAGCAAGGATTAAAAAGCAGCTTTGTCTGCTTGCTCAGTCCTGGAGGTCACATCAGCCTGAATCAAAAAGATCTTCATGTAAACTCCTTAAAAGGACCCAGCGGGATCATTTTGATCCGAAAACCATTAAACAAAGATTCAGCACCAATAAACCTGGTTCCATTCACAGCCAAATGTGAATCCAAATGTTTGCACCTTTCATGTTTAAGCTTTCCAGCATGCAGTATCAGAGAGATCCTCCAATAGATGTAGATGTTGCTCAGGAACTTCCCCTGAAGGCAGAGAGTTGGAGCTATTGATATCCATCGTATCTATAGACATTTATTCAGCTGCTTTATGATTGTCCGCCATCAGGGCATCCTCCTTAAAGCTCAGAGGGAGCTTAATGACAGCAAAGACTAAGTTGCAGATGTTGCAAAGGCAATGACTAGGTCATCTGTCAGAGGGGATTGGCAGACTTCATCCCCTGGCCTGTGGGTGTGTTTATGTGTTTGGGTGTGTGTGTGCGTTTGGAAAAGGCCCCCAGGGCAAAAGATCAACCTGGAAAAATTCTCAAAGTCCGCACAAATATGCTATTTTGCTACATTTCATCTATAATCTCTTTAATTGGACTCATTATTTCAAAATGGGAAGAGCATTTATGATACACTCTGGAAAAAAAAATAAAAATAAAGAAATAATCCTATATCAGTTCAGCAGATTAGTATAGAAGATTATTCAGGTGAAATAGAGATTGTGAGGTGATGAGATTATGAAATATTAAATATGTCAGCCGATTCGAGCAATAGGGTGGAGTATTAAGGGCCGGAGTCCTAACAATGACATTCAGCGTCATGAATTTATCTAAATCCCTGTGACAGATGGGTGCAAAGATAATAGAACTGCCTCCGAGTGGAAATATCCAAGGAGCAAGAGTGGGTGGAGTGCAACCGGATAGTACAGGACAACAACAAAAAAACTGTATTTAATCAGAAGACAGCATGTATTTAAGGGCGGATTGAGTGAGAAAAGCGGTGGAGTAACAGCAGGTAACATCCACTCTGATTTGAACTTCTTCAGACTCCTCCAGATGAATCCTTAAGTGTTTTAAAGTATTCACAAACCCTTATTTTTGGGAAGGTTTTATTTAATGTAGCATCACAAATACTGCCCACTTGTTAAGTAGAAATGAAAATATTAAATGTTCTGTCTAGGTGTTGACTTTGATTGGACCTTTCTATAACATGAATATGCTGTCATTGCTAAACTGGCTTTATGTATAGGGTCATCGTCCTGCTGCAGCATCAGGTCTGTTGCGACCTACCACAGGGATCCATGTCACATGTAGACACATGCTCTCCTTCTCTGTCCCTTTTTAAAAAAAATTGCACTCAAAAGATTGATTCCAGTTCCGATGCTGAACTTGCACCAGTTACCTTTGCATATTTTCTGGGTTTGTGCGTCAGCATCATTTCCTGAATACTTTGTTCATAAAAATGAAGACATTTATTCATTTAGAAATGGCAGTGTACTTTTTGTACAGCTTTCCAATTCCAAATCTTAATACTCCTGGAGTATGGATGGATGGATGAATAGAAAATGTGCAGTTTCAGTTTGATTTCATCTGCAGCAGTGAATTGCAGGATAAAGCCTGGCCAGGGTTAAATCTGTTGCAGGGAAACATGGAGACACACATGACAAACAACCATAGACAGAATCCAGGCATGTGAAGAGAGAACAAGCAAACTCCATGCAAAAGACCCCAGGCTGGGATCTGAACTCAGACCTTTTTGGTACAATGCAGACTGCAATGACATCTAGTAAAACCAACATTTTGGTTTCATTTAAAGGAACTATATTCTCCCAGTTCTTTCCTGGCTTGTCAAAATGTTCTGCAGCAAACTTTAAGCAAGTTTCAATATGATTCTTCTTCGTCAGTGGAGGTTTGCTCTGTGAACAAGCATGCCATGATAAATCTATGGATGCATTGAGTGCATTACTCACCATCGAAACAGCTGCTTCTGCTTAATCCTGTTATTTCTAAAGCTCTCTTTGAATACTTCTTGGCTTTTGGACAGCTGCTCTGATTATTTATTGGTTTCCCTTTCAGAAATATTGTAAGATTAAAAAGAAATCACTCAATTTACTTCAAGGCTAGTTTACAGTAAAATTACATCACGGTGCCAGCGCTGCTTCCTGGAACATTTAGATCCTTTGAAATATACGTAATACCAGTACAATCAATCAAAATATTCTGCAAAAATAATGGTTGGAAGGAGTGTTCAGAAAACTCTCTGCTTTAATGCATTGTGAGATTCATCTTGAGGCCAACATTAGGACTATACTGTATAAGGTTAAATGTATCTTATCCTGATTGTATGTCTATATTTGAACTTATCTGCATTTCCATGAACAGTGGTTTGTGAGAATGTGTCTGTGAAGTTCAATTCATGAATAAATGAATTCATACTGAACGGGGGCAGTGTTGCTTTCTAAATACTTTCAGATTTCTGCTGTTTTATTAGCCTTCTTGGTTTCCTTTTATTCATATATTTTATTACCTTCTCCTTTTGAAAAGGTAAAATAATGTTTAAGTAAAAAAAAAAGATAATGTTCACAACCAATATTCATTCCCTGTTATATTCTGAATTAATACACCTAACATGACCCATTTATTTCTTTTTAAATTTTTTTTAATGCACAATTTTATCTAATAGTTCCATTAAATCTATTTACCTAAAAAAAACATTGTGAAGTTTAATATTGATTGTATTAGGCTTAATGCTCATCATGGTTAATCCCAGTGTTGTTCGGACTTTGTGTCTGTATAGTACAGGTATACAGTATAGTAGCCCGGAGGTGCAAATGCACTGGAAATACATAAACAGTCAGCAAATACAAAAAGTACTAGAAACAAAACAATGGGATTATAAAACACACAAAAATTGACTAAAATAAAATACATGCAAAGGAAAACACTGCAAAAGAGAAATGTTGCAATCTTAGAAAGTAGAGAACAGTAAGGTTCAGCTGCACTGACAATGTAATATGTTCTGCAAACAGTTGAGGGTAACTAACAAAAAAAAAATATCAAAACATATTTAGAGGTTAAATGCTAAAAAAAAAGCAAAAACAACTGTATTTTCAGAACACCTGCAAACTAGCTATGGTCAATCAATCAATCAATCAATCAATCAATCAATCAATCAATCAAT